CGGGGGACGCATGGCTCGAGAGCAGTATGTGTGAAATGATATTGGAGTCCTCATGGGGAGTGTGCTGGTACGGTTGTACCAGGAGCTCCAAATTTATTTTCTTTCTGTTATCTGTTTTGCAGTCATAGGACAGGCCTCCTGTCCATCATAATTAAGCTTTGGTTCCGCCTCTTGTTCTGGGCTCTGGGAGGGAAAGGAGCCATTTTTTGGGCAGTCTCACACAAAGTAGCTAAGCTATAGGACGTAGACCAGCTCGTCCCGTAGAAAAGCTTCCTTTCTCAATAATCATCCAGGGAAAAAGGAGCTTCCAGGGAAAAGGAACATTCGGGGAAACAGAAACAGAAATTCCAGGGAAAAGGTCCCAAAAGCTCTGGCTGAGAGCTCACAGCCTCTCAGCCTCACAGCATCAGAGGGAACAGCCCTGAAGTTTCTAAGAATTCTCGAAGGGAGAACAGCATTACAGATCCATGGAAATATCTTCAAGCCTCGGCTGGTAGGTCTACTCGATACCCAGACGTATTTGGAGTCGGTAGTAGGTCCCACACCGATGAGGCATAGATAGAAAGCAGCCTGGGAGAGGTTAAAAAGGGTTTTTCCTACAGAGAAAGTTTAGTTAATCAAAGTCAGGTACCAGTCCATTGAGGACTAGACTAAGAAAGCCTTGAAGTGTTGTTTGAACCATTGAAGATTTGTTGTTTGTTCCATAATAAAGACTTTGTTGTATCATTAAAGACTCTAAAGACCATCACTTCAGAAAAATCCCTGAGAACCTCTCTTTGAGGCGCCCTGGCTTCCCGCTGGGCTTAAAGTATACGTCCTATAGAAAAGACAGCTGTTACAGGCCCAGCATGCGACAGAACAAGGAGGAGGGGGAACAGGAGTCAACAATGTGATGTGGTGGCAAAAAAAGCCAACAGGATTTTGGCCTGCATCAATAGGAGTCTAGTGTCTAGATCCAGGGAAGTCATGCTACCCTCTATTCTGCCTTGGTTAGACCACACCTGGAATATTGTGTCCAATTCTGGGCACCACAATTGAAAAGAGATATTGACAAGCTGGAATGTGTCCAGAGGAGGACGACTAAAATGATCAAGGGTCTGAAGAACAAGCCCTATGAGGAGCGGCTGAAAGAGCTGGACATGTTTAGCCTGAAGAAGAGAAGGCTGAGAGGAGCATGATGAGGGCGAGGTATACATATGTGAGGGAAAGTCATAGGGAGGAATCATAGAATCATAGAGTTGGAAGAGACCTCATAGGCCATCCAGTCCAACCCCCTGCCAAGAAGCAGGAATAATGCATTCAAATCACCCCTGACAGATGGCCATCCAGCCTCTGCTTAAAAGCTTCCAAAGAGGGAGCCTCCACCACCCTCTGTGATTCTATGAAAGACCTTGTAAAAATAGGGCTCCCAAGATTCTATATTATTGAGTTATGACAGTTAAAGCGGTGCCAAACTGCATTCATTCTGCAGTGCAGATGCACCTTCTGACTCCATTTGGAAAAGAGAGACAAAGTGTATTACAAAGAGGCTGCAGAAGGCAGGAAAGAAAGCCAACTTTGGCAGACTGGCAGGCCAAACCACAGACACAAATGGACTCCAGAAGGTGAGCCAGGCCCTCAACAATTTCCTGTGTTCCGCTTAAATTGGATAAAGGATCTCTCTCTCTTTTTGGCTCCCAGCAAATGATGTCAGAAACATTTCCTGCATTAAGGGGCTGTGTACGTAATCCTTTGCAGGCTTTTCATCCTGGGTCTGCTGGAGGTTCCTGAGCCTGTTTTTGGTTGATGGTTATCACCGAGTTCATGTTTATTCAAGCGGCTAAATATTTTGCTACCATAAAGTGTCCCTTTTGCTCTCCTGGGCAAGTTCGGACAATTTGCAGGAGGCACATCCTCCTGCAAAAGTATGCTTCATGGGAGTCCAGTGTAATCTCTTTCCCTGGAGGTTTTTAAACAGAGGCTAGACGGCTATCTGTGAGGAGTGCTTTGATTGTGTTTTCCTGCATTGCAGAAATGGGTTGGACTGAGTAGCCCTTGGAGTCTCTTCCAACTCTATTGTTCAAGCTGAAACATGTAAGATTAGCATCTCTGCATTTTCCGCAGTGATCCCATGGCTGTGAAGCATTTCCCAGGAGCATTGCACACTTCTCACACTCATTTGGAACTAATGATGTAATCATTGGTACTTGCAATGCACCTGGGACATTATGGATGTGCATTGAGCACTTCTGGTGAATTTTAGGCACTTCTGTTGCATTCTAGCACTTCCAAGTCAGTGGTTGGATGCGCACTGATAGCTCCCTTGGGCATTGGAAGTGCCCATTGTTTTTTTCCATTAGGAGTGTGGCACATCAGTCACTCAACTGACCACAATTGTGCAATGGACAACTGTACATTGTAGCATCATAGCCGATGAATATGGATGTTGAGAAACCATTTATCTCTCTAACTGCACATTAATGTCCCTGGACAAAGATTCATAAACTCATAGAGTTGGAAGAGACCCCAAGTCCCTCCTGCCAGGCAGGAAGACACAAAGCAATCCCTCCTTACAGATAGTCATCCAGCATCTGCTTAAAAACTTCCAGAGAAGGAGATGCATCTTGCATGGTCAATCAACTTTGAACATTAGAAATTTTCCCTAATGTTTAAATGGAATCTGTTTCCCTGTAGGTTGAATCCACTTCTCTGTATTGTAGTCTCTGGAGGAGCACAAAGCAAGTTTGCTCCCTCCTCAATGTGAACCCTCTTAAATATCATCATCATCGTTGTCATAGCCAAGTATGATTGCCTTCCAAGTTTAGGATCTTGGCAGGGATCCCATCAGGTCCACTGGCTTTGTTGTTTTTTAGTTTGTTGGCTGATGGCTTTGCTGACTTTCTCCAAACTAGGCAGTGCTGCAAGCTCATCCCTGTTTGGTTGTTGTGGGATTTTTATTTATTTATTTATTTCGGGCACTTCTACCCCGCCCTTCTCAACCCCCAAGGGGGGACTCAGGGCAGCTTACAGCCGGCACAATTCGATGCCAACAATTCAACAAATAAATTACATAACAGCAATAACCACAGTAGTTAAAACAATCAATTAAAACAATAACAATTAAACAATTAAAAGCCAATCTAGTGGCCAACGTTCACCGAGTTCTGATATCCGTAAGTCCATTCAGCATTACCATGGTCCTTTCCAATTTCTGGTCGTCATTATCTTGTCAGTCTGCCAGATTACCCAAAAGCCTGGTCCCATATCCATGTTTTCAGCTTCCTTCTGAAGGAGAGGAGGGATGTTGATGACCTAATTCCCCCAGGGAGTGAATTCCACAGGCGAGGGGCCACCACCGAGAAGGCCCTGTCCCTCGTCCCCACCAGCCTCACTTGTGATAGAGGTGGGGCCGAGAGCAGGGCCTCCCCTGAAGATCTTAAACTCCGAGGTGGGACATAGAAGCAGATATGTTCGGACAGGTATGATGGGCTGGAGCCGTATAGGGTTTTATAGGTCATTTGTGAAAGAATCTCTTCAGCCATGCTGGGACTGTGATTAAGAAGGTTATGGTAGTGCTGTTTCCAACGTAGTGCAATTTATTTTTTATCCTTCAGAAGTTTTGTTCCATTTGATGAATGTAGAAGTGTGCCATGATCTCTTGCGCCTTAGACGACCTTTGTGGCTGTAAATAATACGTAAATATGACTATCATGTCCCCTCTCAACCTTGTTTTCTCCAAAGTAAACATCCTCAGCTCCCTAAGCCATTCCTCCGAAGGATTCATGGTTTTCAGAACCTTGACCATTTTGGTCACCCATCTTTGGACACATTCTAACTTATCTAAATCCTCTTGAATTGTGGTGCCCAGATTATTCCAGCTGGAGTCTAACCCAAAGCAGATATAGAGTGGGATTATGACTTCTCTTGGTCTTGACACTATACTCTTATTGATACAGCCTAGAATTGCATTGACTTTTTATACTGCTGCATCACACTGTTGACTCATGTTCAACTTGTGTTCCACTAAGTCAGTGGTTCTCAACCTGGGGTCCCCAGATGTTTTTGGCCTTCAACTCCCAGAAATCCTAACAGCTGGTACACTGACTGGGATTTCTGGGAGTTGTAGGCCAAAAACATCTGGGGAACCCAGGTTGAGAACCACTGCACTAAGTCCTCTTCCAGCTGTGTACAATCCACATTGAACTGGAATATATGACAGTGTGGGCTCAGATAATCAAGTTCAAAGCAGATATTGTGGATTATCTGCCTTGATATTCTGGGTTATATGGGTGTGTGGAAGGGCCCTACGACTCCTTGATCCCTTTCACATGGGTTGTTCTCAAACCATGTGTCGCCCATCCTATACCTGTGCATTTCATTTTTATTACCAAAGTGATTTCACCATACATTTCCTCCTGGTGAAATCAGTGTTGTTGGTTTGCACCCAACTCTCTAATCTGTTGATATCATTTTGGATCCTGTCCTCTGGGGTTTTAGCTTTTCCTCCCTATGAAGTCCCATTTGCATATCTGATAAGTGTGTCTTCTATTCCATCATCCAAGTGTCATCAAGTCATTAATAAAGATAATGATTAGTCTTGAAAGGCCCAGGACAGAACCCTCAAAACCCGTTTGGAAACATCCTTTGGGTTTGTATTGTTGAAGGCTTTCATGGCTGGAATGAATGGGTTGTTGTAGGTTTTTCAGGCTATATGGCCATGTTCTAGAAGCATTCTCTCCTGACGTTTCGCCTGCATCTATGGCAAGCATCCTCACAGGTTGTGAGACCTCACAACTTATGAGGATGCTTGCCATAGATGCAGGGGAAACCTACAACAACCCATCCTTTGGGTTCCCAATCCACCAAACAGTAACATTGAGTAGCCCCTTGTGTAACCCATGTTTTACCAGCTTCTTCATGAGAGTATCATGGGGAGCTGCCCATTTGATAAACGTGCCTTCTATTACATGTCCTGAATACCTATTCAATTGCCACATTTGTTTCTGTTTCCCTTTTTCCAGATCCGCGCCTTCATGAACAACTTCCTTCCGGAAAGCAGTTATGAAGAGGACCTCCGGGCGATGAGATTTCTGTCCGTCAATTCCATCATTGACCCCTGGGTCTTTGCTATCCTGCGCCCTCCCGTCCTTCGAATGATACGCTCCATGTTTTGCTGTCGGACGCCATTTAAAGCGCGGACTAAGAGCAAGCAGGCATCTTGCGTCGCCAAACAGACTCCTGCAATGGAGGTTGACATTTGCCACCCGTAGCTCTCCGTCATGTTGGAGAACGCATTTGGAAGTTTGTGGGTTCCTCAGGGACATTGGTTGTTGTGTTTCTATGCTCACTGCATATCAATGTGTGCCACGGACTGTCCAGGTGTCCGCTGTCCTGCCTCTGGGAGGATTGTCCAAAGTGACCCTCCACGTTTGCATTCTTTGCAGACATATTTCAGGGAAGCAAATTTGAAGGAAGGAAATTTGATCATCTAACACAGTATTATCTTACAGCAACAGCTCTCCATCTTTCCAGGTGGGAGTTTCCAGGTCTTTCCAAGTGAAGATGTTCAAGACTGGATTTGGGACTTAGGGGATGTTTTGTGCTGCGATGGTTTGCAGAAAAAGACAGAGAATGAGTGAGTGAGTGAGTGAGTGAGTGAGTGAGTGAGTGGACAACTGAATGAACGAGTGAGCAATAGATTCGATTTGCAGGAAAAGATATTCCACCTAAACATTAGGAAGAGCATCCTGATGGGCCATGTTACAGAAGCATTCTCTCCTGACGTTCCACCAACATCTATGGCAGGCATTCTCAAAAGTTGAGGGGTCTTTTGGAAACTAGGAAAGTGGGTTTTATAATCGTCCAGGGTGGGAGAAAGAACTCTTGTCTGCTTGAGGCAAATGTGAATGTTGCAATTGGCCAGCTTGATTAGCATTGAATTGCCTCTCAGCTTCAAAGCCCGGCTGCTTCCTGCCTGGGGGAATCCTTCGCTGGGAGGTGTTAGCTGGCCCTGATTGTTTCCTGTCTGGAATTCCCCTGGTTTTTTTAATATTGCTCTTTATTTACTGTCCTGATTTTAGAGTAATCCTGATGGTTAGAGTTGCTTGATGGTAGAATTTGCTGCTGACTGGAAACGTGATAGAGTCTCCTTCTCGGGAGGTTTTTCAGCTGGATGGCCATCTGTGGGATATGCTTTGATTGTGTCTTCCTGTATGACAGAAGTAACCATTGGGATCTCTTCCAACTCTTGGATTCTATGGATGGATGGATGGATGGATGATGAATGAGCAAACCACTCACTTTGGTGACCCTTGAGGTTCCCACTAGTTCCTCCCCCAAACTGCCTACAAATCCCACTGTATTTTACAGAAAGCACCTCAGATACATGGAAATTTTCCTAACACCCCTCTACACACATCTCCCCATTTTTTCCAACAACCCTTTCAAAATGGTGACAGAAAATGGCATGACGTCACTTCCAGTTGCCATTTTGAGAAGGTCTCAAACGGGTATTTTGTTATTCTGGGGAGGCTCACAGCCTATGGAGAAATGAAGGGATTGGGCCCTGGGCAACTGCACAATTGCCTAATTCTAGTGGCACTGAGGGTGCATCCACACTGTAAAAAATTATGCAGTTTGACATCACTTTAACTCAACACAATGGAATGTTATATGGATGTTATAGTTTTGCAAGTGGAGCCCCCGGTGGCGCAGTGCGTTAAACTCTTGTGCCAGTAGGACTGATGACCGACAGGTTAGTGGTTCGAATCCGAGGAGAGCAGGTTGAGCTCCCTCTGTCAGCTCCAGCTCCCAATGCAGGGACATGAGAGACGCCTCCCACAAGGATGGCAAAACATCAAAACACCCGGGCTTCCCCTAGGCAATGTCCTTGCAGACTGCCAATTCTCTCACACCAGAAGCGACTTGCAGTTTCTCAAGTCACTCCTGACACGAAAAAAAAATAGTTTTGCAAAATCTTTAGCCATCCCTACCAAAGAGTGCTGATGCCTCCACAGACTAATTCCCAGGATTGCATTGCATTGAGCCAAGGCAGTTAAATGGGTGCCAAACTGCATTAATTCTACAGTGCAGACTCACCCAGATTTGTTGCAGTTTGAAACTGAATGCTTAATTATAGCATTTGACAGACAAACCCCATTGATCAAAAAGAGGCATTATGGACAAAGAGGGTGGCGTTTGTCCATGGAGGTGAACGCAAGAGGAAACAGAAAGTATCTCTTCCACGAATGTCCTTACGTTTACTCATTTTTCCAAGCTACTGTTTGTATAGGAAGCTGTGTGTTGTTTGTTGCACATGACAGTCGCCTCTATGTGTGTCATTCATTCGTTTGTCAGTCTTCCTTCTCTATTTAAGAAATATGGGCAACCAATTGCCTCTGGATTTTCTGTTATTGTTGTTGTTTGTATTGCGTTCTTTTGCTCTGGTGTGTTTTTGCTTCTTTCCCAAAGGATTTCAAAACAGTGCCTCTGTTTGTTCAGGACTAAAATCCACTGAATTCAGTGGGTTTCGCTTCCACATCAAGCTTGCACCCCATTGGTGACACAACATGGAAATTCATCAACGAGGCACCATGCAATTGATGTAGGATTTTGTATCTTTGGCATTACAGGCATCGCTAGGCAATGGGAGAAGGAGGAAAGGGGAAGAGGAAAGGATGGAAGGACAAGAGGAAGGAGCGAGACCAGGCCTGGGCAAACTTGGTCCTTCCCTCCAGGTGTTTTGGACTCCAACACCCACCATTCCTAACAGCCTCAGGCCTCTTCCTTTTCCCCCTCAGCCCTCAACCACAGCTTAAAAACTTCCAGAGAAGGAGATGCATCTTGCATGGTCAATCAGCTCTGAACATTAGGAATTTTTCCTAATGTTTAAATAGGATCTATTTCCCTGTAGGTTGAACCCACTGCTCTCTATTGTAGTCTCTGGAGGATCACAAAGGAAGTTTGCTCCCATCTCAATATGTTATCCTCTTAATTATGTCATCATCATTATCATCATCAAAGGCTATCATGCATGGCCAAGTATAATTCCCTTCCAAGTATATCCCATCAGCGGACCTGATGGGATCCCTACAGGGATCCCATCAGGTCCGCTGGCTTTGTTGTTTTTTAGTTGGCTGACGGCTTTGCTGACTTCCTCCAAACTAGGCAGTGCTGCAAGCTCATCCCTGGTTTGTTGTTGTGGGATTTGTGAGAGGACCTCTTCGGCCACATTGGAGCTGCGGTTCAGGAGGCTTTGCAGTCTCTGGAGGAGCACAAAGCAAGTTTGCTCCCTCCTCAATGTGATATCTTCTTAAATATGTCATCATCATCATCATAGGGTATCACTCATGGCCAAGTATGATTGCCTTCCAAGTATAGGGTCTCGGCAGGGATCCAATCAGGTCCACTGGCTTTGTTGTTTTTTAGTTGGCTGATGGCTTTGCTGACATCCTCCAAACTAGGCAGTGCTGCAAGCTCATCCCTGTTTTGTTGTTGCGGGATTTGCAAGAGAATCTCTTCAGCCATGTTTCCCTGTAGGTTGAATCCACTGCTTTCTATTGTAGTCTCTGGAGGAGCACAAAGCAAGTTTGCTCCCTCCTCAATATGTATCTTCTTAAATATGTCATCATCATCATCATCATCATCATCATCAGGTATCACTCCTGGCCAAATATGATTCCCTTCTAAGTATAGGGTCTCGGCAGGGATCCCATCAGGTCCACTGGCTTTGTTGTTTTTTAGTTGGCTGACGGCTTTGCTGACTTCCTCCAAACTAGGCAGTGCTGCAAGCTCATCCCTGTTTTGTTGTTACAGGATTTGCAAGAGAATCTCTTCAGTCACGTTTCCCTGTAGGTTGAATCCACTGCTCTCTATTGTAGTCTCTGGAGGAGCACAAAGCAAGTTTGCTCCCTCCTCAATGTGATATCCTCTTAAATATGTCATCATCATCATAGGGTATCACTCATGGCCAAGTATGATTGCCTTCCAAGTATAGGGTCTTGGCAGGGATCCCATCAGGTCCACTGGCTTTGTTGTTTTTTAGTTGGCTTATGGCTTTGCTGACTTCCTCCAAACTAGGCAGTGCTGCAAGCTCATCCCTGTTTTGTTGTTGCGGGATTTGCAAGAGAATCTCTTCAGCCATGTTTCCCTGTAGGTTGAATCCACTGCTCTCTATTGTAGTCTCTGGAGGAGCTCAAAGGAAGTTTGCTCCTTCCTCAATGTGATATCCTCTTAAATATGTCATCATCATCATCATCATCAAAGGCTATCATTCATGGCCAAGTATGATTGCCTTCCAAGTATAGGGTCTCGGCAGGGATCCCATCAGGTCCGCTGGCTTTGTTGTTTTTTAGTTGGCTTATGGCTTTGCTGACTTCCTCCAAACTAGGCAGTGCTGCAAGCTCATCCCTGTTTTGTTGTTGCGGGATTTGCAAGAGAATCTCTTCAGCCACGTTTCCCTGTAGGTTGAATCCACTGCTCTCTATTGTAGTCTCTGGAGGAGCAAAGGAAGTTTGCTCCTTCCTCAATGTGATATCCTCTTAAATATGTCATCATCATCATCATCATCAAAGGCTATCATTCATGGCCAAGTATGATTGCCTTCCAAGTATAGGGTCTCGGCAGGGATCCCATCAGGTCCGCTGGCTTTGTTGTTTTTTAGTTGGCTTATGGCTTTGCTGACTTCCTCCAAACTAGGCAGTGCTGCAAGCTCATCCCTGTTTTGTTGTTGCGGGATTTGCAAGAGAATCTCTTCAGCCACGTTTCCCTGTAGGTTGAATCCACTGCTCTCTATTGTAGTCTCTGGAGGAGCACAAAGCATGTTTGCTCCTTCCTCAATGTGATATCCTCTTAAATATGTCATCATCATCATCAAAGGCTATCATTCATGGCCAAGTATGATTGCCTTCCAAGTATAGGGTCTCAGCAGGGATCCCATCAGGTCCGCTGGCTTTGTTGTTTTTTAGTTGGCTTATGGCTTTGCTGACTTCCTCCAAACTAGGCAGTGCTGCAAGCTCATCCCTGTTTTGTTGTTGCGGGATTTGCAAGAGAATCTCTTCAGTCACGTTTCCCTGTAGGTTGAATCCACTGCTCTATATTGTAGTCTCTGGAGGAGTTTGCTCCCTCCTCAATGTGATATCTTCTTAAATATGTCATCATCATCAATCAATCATTGGGTATCACTCATGGCCAAGTATGATTGCCTTCCAGGTGTAGGGTCTTGGCAGGGATCCCATCAGGTCCGCTGGCTTTGTTTTTTCTAGTTAGCTGATGGCTTTGCTGACTTCCTCCAAATTTGGCAGTGTTGCAAGCTCATCCCTGTTTTGTTGTTGCGGGATTTGCGAGATAACTTCTTCAGCCACCTTGGAGCTGCAGTTGAAGGCTGAGGGGGAAAAGGAAAGGGCCTGAGGCTGTTAGGAATTGTGGAAATTGGAGTCCAAAACACCTGAAGGGAAGGCCCAAGTTTGCCCATGCCTGGACTAGATGATCTCTCATTTGCCTTACTCTCTAATTCCATTGCTCTTCTATTTTT